TAGCCTTTTCCCATGCTGGAAAGCGCGGGCCTGAAAAATTTTCCCATTAAACCTATAACTGTTTGCGTCGAAGAAAAATTACTGATTTTTTTGTCTTGTTCGTGTTTCCATGGCCACAAAAAACAATTTGTCGCACTTAGTTTTCAATAAAATTGGTTCTGCCTGAAAAATGGCCCTAGATTCGAAAATGGCATTAGTCCACCAATTTTAGTGATAAAAACGAATCACTCTCGCCTTAAAATATTTTTTTTAAAAAAAGGTGTAACCGCGCCAATTTTTAGCGGTGTTGGACTTTTTTCAAAACTTTCGTTGGCGAAAAACTCAAAGAGACGCTGCTAAAGTCAAACCTTTCTGCTCTCTCTGATAATTTTCTCAAATAAGACAAAAAATATATATAACAAATAAGAAAAATATCGAAAATCTGTCTTTTTGCCTGCGACTCTAGCAAAATTTTGAGAAGATTAACATAATGTCTCCCCCTCTAACTTTGTCCATAAAATGGCGCTTCCGAAAAAAGAACTATGGTTTTTATGGCGGACTCTTTGGTTGTTCAAAGAGTCGCTTGCGGTGCAGACAGAAAATAGGCGACGCTTTAGAAAGTTTTCTTATCATTTGTTATAAGTTTTTATCTTCCGTTTCTATAAAAAAGATCGTTAGAAACAGTAATAATTCATAATAAACACTTTCACTCGTGATTCCAGATTTATTAAAAGTTTCCTAAATTCTGTCAGTAGTGAAAAAATGGATTTAATTTTTTGCTTCATAGACAATCTCTGAGACAATACTATCTGTATAAAGTAATTTTGTTTCATTTCTTGCCCTCCTCTGATTTTGCCACTATATCATGTTTTAAGAAACGGGTATAAATCCGCGTTTTTAATCCGACCACCCAACTTAGGGTGAGTTTCAAATTTTTTAGATATGATTTTCCACGCAAAATCAGGTATTACAAATAATCATCAGAAGATTGAGCCGTGTTTTATATCATTTTAAAGCCATTTCTGTCCGGAATTGATTGACATTAACAATTTTCATGATTTTTTTTCTTAAAAAAACTCTTGGTTTCAAACCTTTGCTTTTTTTTTTCTAATTTCGAGCTATCTTTGGCTATTAATTACACTTTTATAGAAGTCATAATAGTACAAAAAATAATACTAAAGATGCAAAAACTAGTTTTTCGAAACTTCATTTAGCGCTTCCGTGGCAATAAAAGTTTCAAAAATTGCAAAAATCATGATTTGTTCTAAGTTTTGGTTGTTATTTACAATTTACAAATATGACTCATTTATTATCAACAAACCATGCACAAAAAAAACAAATCGAAAAAAAAAAGATTTTTTTCTTCTGATATATGTCATGTCGTTGGAACGTTCTGTGCTAATTGCACAGCAACCGTTTACTCAGTTTTTTTTTGTTTTACTTAGTTTTTTGTATTTTTGCAGTGATTCCTAGAACCATATAGGTGACACAACAACGACTTTTATTGTGACACACTCTGCTTTCAGAAAATCTTAGGCGCCCACCAAAAAATTATGTAAAAAAATTAAGGGTAGATATCTTGAGTGGCAATGGAGACCAAACAAACGGCAATGCAGACCTCACTTGTTATTTTAAAAAAAATATATAGCATTTTACAAAAAAATGAAATGCTTTCTTGCGCTAGAAAGGATGGCATTGAAAACATTCAAGTATTACAACACGATGATGAAAACAAACTACGATTTTCTTTTGTTTTTCAGACAAAGACTTCAATGGTAATCTGGAATACATTGATTATGGCATGTCACCACCCAAGAACCAACCCTCAAACTTTGCTGAACCCATAATTCTGAAGAGGAATGGGTATCTCTGGAAAAACAGGAAGGACAGCGGAAGTCCCAAGAAGAAGCATCCGATTCCATGATTTCGTTGGATATTTTCATTTAGACCAGTACATACTTGTCAGTTTAATCAATTGCTGAATTAACTGTTTTTCGAAGTTTGATGAAAGCGTTGCCTCATTTTCTTCTACCTCCAAATTTTGCTTATTGTACACATTGTCATCAAAAATGGCACATGAACTAATTGATCTATTTCAAACATATTTGGTCCTCATAGTTAATTTTTATACGAGCGTAATCATTACACAAAATTCTTTTCAACCTTTGAGGGAGCAGTTTTAGATATACTTAAATCAGAGGCATTTGAAGGCGAGTATTTCCGCCCACATCGCATCACCGACTTTGAACTGAGGGCAACTTTAGTCAATTCACTCAGCTTCACAGCCTAGTTTAGACGTAAATTGAAGTTTTGTGATTATTTGGATAAGCTCGTAAAGCATCAATCTCCAGTAACAAAAAAGTGTTTTTCTTTTGAGGCATTAACCTCTTGAATTTTTTGAAAAGGGTTTTTGGGAAAATTAAACGAGGGTGACGATTTTTTTCAGCGCCTTTCTGATCGAGGTGAGAAAATCTCTTTCGAAATTCTCGTCCCACGATCCAAAGTTTAGGGTACCAGAAAAATTGATTTTATAATCATTTGGAGCTGTAAAGGATTTTATGGGGCTCCATTAAAAACCAATCATCTGACAGTATTGATGCAGAAAATCGTGAAAAACATTACTTTATTTGGAATATCAATCTGAAAGTTAAAGTTAAAGTTAAATGCCTACCTGGAGTCTCATCACAGAGTTTTTGTTCTCTAACTATCAAACTACACGAGATCTAAAACAAGTCAGATCAAGCGCCAACCAAAATAATAGAGCAGTAATTATATAATCAGCTGCGATCGAGCATTGGAGTTTTTATAGAAATTTTGTACCGTTTCGAAAACCTGTTAATTGACATCATAGAATACTTAGAAAAGAAAGATAAAATATTAATTTCTAAATTTTTCACAGAAATATACTAGTAACAGGAATAAGTGGTTGCTGTGCAAGAAATAGAAGTTGTTTCAATCAGTCACCCAAAAAAATGCAATTTTTTTTCCAGTTCTTTGATCTTCTTTACTGCACGGGATTCCACGAATAACTAGCTAAAACAGTATCGCTCAAAATCAAACTAAAAACAGGCAAACTTGCGGAATCCGTAACAACATTTTTGAAACGTTCTCGCAGCATTTTAGTTTTGTGGGAGGGAGGAGAAGGTAGATGGGACAAACTTAATTTTCATAAGTACACATTAGTAATTCTTGTTGGGTGATACAATTTTAAAATCACTGGACATTTTTATGTTTAGAGAATATTACATGAGATGTATGCCAAGATTATTGTTCATAGAATACTTTGAGTCGATAAGTTCACTATCTTTGCGATTTTGAAAAAAAATACGTGGATGTTCCACCGTCAATATCAGCTCTTTTCAATTAGTGTTTTATGTAAATGGCAACTAAACTTTTAAATTGTGTTTTTTACAGTTCAATTTGTTGGGATTTATTCACATAGTTTGATCAAAATAATATTACAAGTTTAACTCTTTATTGCAAAAAAATGCCCAAAGGGAAAAATGGTTTGTTTCGCCGACTCATAAAAACCAACTGCGTCATCGGGTTTTTCAATCTCCTAAGGTTTTAAATCACCATGAGCTGATGGCGTTCAATTCATTCAAATTTAACAAGGAGTCGTTGCATGAAATAAAAAAAAACTGTTTCCGGGTAGCTTTTGACCAAAACTTTGCGCTCAGTTGTTCTCTAGTGTTATAAAATTTGGGCAAAAGTACATCAAAGCCTAGCACAATTTTAAAATTCCCTTGATGAAATTTTTTGAGAAAAGTATAATTTGTTTTTTTTGGAACAATTAACTCCATATTTCGAAAAATTTCGCAAAAGCGCACCAAATATTTCCCTGTTTCGTGCAACCAAGTATTCGCAGCTCATTCATTCGCATGACTTGATCTTGTCTTGACCGAGGACATTGCCACCGAAATAAGAAGTGAAAAAATACTAGCTCCGAAAAGTCTGGCTAAACAAAATAAGTGAGAAACAAATTACGATTGGTGCTTTTTTAAATAAAATTAACCTAAGTTGAGAAAACTGGATCAATAGGTAAATTTTTAGTTCCGCTGGAAAAACTGAACATTAAAAACTACTTTCGAAACTAGAGTTAATCTCTTTTTTCGTGATCTTACTTTTGCTGTACTCGCCTGAAATTTTTTTTGTGGTGTCGTTTTTCAGCACAATCAGGTATCACAAATAAAACTCAGGTGGAGCCGAAAACAAATAAACCAAATTAACACATGTGCTGTGAACCAATCAAGGTTAAAAAGCTCAAAAACACTCCCATCCGAGAAAAAACTAGCTTGAAACGTAACATTTTTTAGGCTTGGAAATGGTTCGTCCTTTTTTCGACAAACAAAACGTTCATTCTGGTTTTTCTGCTACTTGCACAGCAACCGACCAGTTGTTTTTTTCCCATTTGATTGATATTTTCACTGAAAACATTTTTTTGAAAAGTGTACCATTTTCTTGGAATGTGTATATTAATATAGGTTTGGTATTTGAAATGTTGACAGGGTTACCAAAAGATACATGCACTTGGCTAGTCACCAGCAAAATAATTTCACTAGGACAACACTTAGTTCCTTATATAAAGCCTTTTCAATGTCGCCCAGTATAAAACGCTTGTATACCTTTACGCAGGGGCGGAGCTGCGCTTCGCAAACACAAGCGAGAACGCGAAAAAAGCACCTCTATTAAGTGCGATAGAAGTATAACTAAAATAATAGATAAATAAAATGTCGGCTGCTCGGATTCGAACCTGCGACTTAGAGATTGAGTCTCACACACTAACCACTCAGCCAAGGACGCTTAATAAACCACAAACACTAGCCACAAATAAAGCAAAGAACAGATGCTATGCTAGTGAAATTTCTATTTAAGTGGACAAAACACTTTTATTTGCGAGTCAGGTTGTTAGAAAGAAAGAAGTTTCCTACTAATGCATTTACGCTCGCAATTTTAAAAAAGTCAACTGACAATTCAAAAAGTGTCCAAGAAAGAGAGGAGACTAATAAAAATGCCGAAAGGAGACTTTTTAAGATGAATTTTAAAGAAAAAAAATAACAAATATTGCCGGCTGGATACGTCAATTAACTCAAGGACAAAAAATTTTCCCCGAAATTTCGAGCTTTAAAGAATAAACTTCACTACTCAGCTTTTGGAACTAATCCTGAGCACTAAAATCACTGGCCAAAACTGATATGCAAATTTATGAACTGTACATGAATGACACATATCAGTTTACAACATACTGACTGAATGTAGCAAAAAAAAAAACACTTTACACGATTATTCACTATTCACACAGCATGTAGTTCTATTTTCTATAGCAGCTTCAAACAATCAATTCATTTTCCATAGTTTATTTTTACAGTCATTTTAAAAGGCATTGGATTTAAGATGAAAATTAATTAGCCTCCAATTCAATCTTAAGCAACCCAAATGAAAAAGTTTTATCCATAATTTTACAAACTTATCATTTTTCTTCTAAATTTCATTTTGCATATACATTTTTTTAGGTACTAACGCATCCAACTCTTTTGCTATTAAACAATTATTTACGAAATTTGGGCAGCTCGAAAATCAATTAAACGTTCACTGGTCGATTAAGTTTTTAGTTTGTTTGATTATGAGGCGCTTTGTGTGGCTGCGTCTAGCACTTCAATTGCAGTTTTGTACTCGCTAGTTTCCCTTGTGGCCGTGTCTGAGTCACTCACTCCAGATAACACATTCTTCAGGTCTTCAATTGCTACTTTTAGTCTCCTCTCTGAGTCGGGGATCATTGACTCGGATTCTTGGGCTACCTAGAACACTGACCAAGATTCAGAAAGTCTATCAACAGCTCGTAAAAAAAGTAAGTGAATGAAACACTTATTTGTTTGTTTAATCGTCTTTTCGGAAACTAGCTATCAAAAATTTTCAAATGCAGTAAATGTTGAAGCTTCGTTCAATTTCTAATATTCAAATTTTGCGATTTGATCAAAAAGCATTCTAAGAAAAACGTGCATTAGAATTAGAACTTATATTCTTCATGAAATTATGCCTCGCCTTGAAATTGTTTGTGCCATAATCGAGATTTTCGACTAACAGAAATTTGATTCACCTAACCTCAATACTTGAACTGTTATTCCATATTCAACGACTAAGTTTTCCAACTCTTGCCATTCATTATTTTTTTTTAGGTATGTTCGAAAAAAGTAATGAACGTAAAGAAATTGAAAAAAAAAATCCTTTGAATTTCGAGGAAAAAAATAGATGGCCTTAAAGCTCTTCGGATTTGTAGAACAATTTATGATGGACACTTTGTTAAAATTAACCCAATTTGAAAAAACTGGATCAATAGGTAAAACTTTTATTTCGCTGGGCAAATAATTGATTTCCATTTTCGAAATTGGAAGTCGATCACAATTGTGGTTTCTGCGATTCGCAGAGGATCTATGAAAGGCTATCTAGCCTGTCTAAGAATAGTCCGTTTCTCTTATTTCCCCACACTCCAGACAGTTATTTTGTTGAGCGAAGCTCTTTTTTTGCGTCTAGATCTTTCACGTGGTACCACTATTGCAGCCGTAATCGGTCATGCTGTGGTAGACCTGAAGCTAGAGGTAAAGTGAGATCTAGTCCTCACGCACTATCATTGCCATGGCGGGATCGAATACACGATCTCAAAGTGAACGCCTCACCACTATGCGAAGTGCCTCCGTTTTTCGTGACCTTTACAATTTTGCTGCTCGATAGTGGAGTTCGCCTTCATTTAAACAACAGAAATGCACTGAACTTAAAAAGAAATCACAAGTCAAACCGCGAAAAATAAAAACTGAGCCTGAATAAACTTTAAGACTTTTTCTTGAAAAACAAACAAAAAATCAGCAAGACCTAAAGAGTTGTCACTGCGTTCATTACTCTTAAAATTAACTTCATAGATCCCTGAGAATAGTAGAGCCTGCCCTGTATACTAACAGATAAACTTTTACAGTCCGTGTGTAAATCCTTTTAAAATTATAATTTGCAGTTTAGCCTACCTCCTCTTGTTTGCGGACATCGTACTCATCCGCACCATCCTCTTTCATCTTCACCACCTTCTGCTTCAACTTCTCCGCCTCCTTCACGTAGTACTGTCCCTCCTTGTGCACCCTCTTCACCACCCCACTCTTTATCTTGATGCTCTTCAGCAGGTCCTTGTCCACTGCAGGTGCACATGCTGAGGTGTCTCCGTCGGCCATACTTGTACAGTACAAATACTACAATCTGAAAAATTCATACATGGCCACAATAGTCAATGTACTGTTGGAAAAATCTTATTCAGAGAACAGCTGATTATTCAACCTTTCAAGTCTATGACAACACATTATTATAAGTATGCTTTAATCTTTTCCAAACAGGTTAACATAGTTTGAAAATGACTAGCTGACCATTTCAAAGCTTTGGACCTTAGAGCAATAATTTGAGGATTATTAAATTTTTTGTGGTCAAAACGATACCACAGAAACAAAAAACCCTTGGTTAATTTCACCACACTTGCTTTAAATGGCAGAATGCTTGCCTTGAGTGTTTTCCAGGAGTTCACAAACGTTTAAACATAGCCAAGAGACAGTTGGAAAAAGTCAATGAACGCAAGGTAACAGAAAAAAACTTGTTGAAAAAATTTCACCTTTTGAAGATTATGTTTAAAAAATTATGGCCTTATTGCTCTTTGAATTTCAAGACGAATTTATGATTGACACTTCTTTGATAATTTTCATTCAGCTGGGAACTTAATAAATTTAACTTCACATTCGACAAAAGACGTTTACATTTTTTGCGCCATTTTTTCGTATTGGGAGAGCCCAATTTACCACACTTCTTGCAGATGAACTTCAATTGCATAAAAACTGCACGTATATACCTAGTTGCGTTGATAAATGCATTAAAATGTATGAATACAGATCTGTAGTTATAGGAGCATTTGAAGGTTTTTTCCTGAAAAATAAGAACAAAAAAATCACCAAGACTTAAATAAAAGTCCTCACTACGTTCAGTGACTCTTAATAATTTCAATCAAGACGGATATTTCAACAAAGTATGAACAAACATTCAACGCAGGCCTTAGGAAAAAAGAAAAGAGCTAACACCTTTCTTCCTTAAAATTTGGCCTTGCCATCCAAAATTTCATACTTTAGTACTAATTTTACTTGAGGATTTGAAGTTCCAAATTTTGAGGAGAGCGTATTATTTTCAGTACTTTGCACTCCTTTTTTGATCAAAAGAGTGTCTTTTTTAGAAGAGCTCAGTCGACCTAACATTTTTATATTCTGTTCCCTTGCAAAAGCCTTACTCCGCCTTTCACTAAATAAAACATTCTTTAATTGAGTTTAATCTATGAAAAGATTGATAACTTACAAACGTAGCTTAGGCTGGGCCAACTTTTTTTCAAAAAAATTACAATAATCGCACAGATATTTTCGAGTGAGATGGAAAATTGAATTTGCTGATTTTCAAGCGTTTCGGAATTGTTCAGTAGAGATTATTCACTGAAATCACGATTTCCTTTGAAGCTCTCTTTTCGCTAGTTTTTGTCCTCAAATGCTGAATGTGATCAAACCACCTCGATAACGACACGTACTTCTGTTTCTGTGCAAATGACATTTGAGCATAAAATGGATGAAGGGATTCGAATAATATGTGGTCACATTCTGCGATTTCGCCTCCCGAGAAAAACGTTTCATTTTCTATAAAACTATTTAATTGATTCATCAATTTGGAAAACTCCACTTGATCCTTTTCAACTCCTGGCTGAAGGTAGCTAGTGAATTCTTTCCATTGATAGTTTAGGGCAATTTTCAGAGCTTTTTCGTTGACTTGAGCTTTCGAGCCAGTTTTGTTTGTGACCATTTCTGCTAATCTGAAAAGCAAGAAAATGATTATAATTTTGATAAGACACAACACGAGTGAAAAAAGTTACGGATATTTGAATTTTGTATTTATTGAGCAAAATGTAAGAATCTACTCTAAACTAGAACAGCTTTAGGATATAAATGGTTGACATGCTTCAATTTTTTATTGGTAATGCTACGAATAATTTTTTTTTATAGTTTTCGAAATGGTTAAACTTGTGGTACATTTTAAGATTGAATAATTTTGTTAAGCGCGGTGGATGCTTTCCAATTCAAAGTTAGGACAACTCAAATCCTACATGACTATGCACGGCATATCTCAGTTTATCCCTTAAAGTAGTCCGTTTCTGGTAGTGAGGCAACTTCAACAAGTTAAAACATGTACTCGAAGTCGGAAGTCGTGAGACGTTCTCGCCCTTTTTGTTTCCCGAGAGCGAGAAAAATCCTCGGACTATACTGCCGACAGTATCGCCTTCGTCCGTGTCATCGGGTTGTTCAACTCTTCGGATAGAAAAGGCGGGTTCTAGATAACTGAAGCCCAGCAGGGGTGGTTTGGAACAGCTGGTGCAGAATTTAAGTAGCAGTGACCTCTCTTCACGGGTGAATTCATTTTCTAGTATGTCCCAGAACCACTTGATCACCTAGGGCACATAAATGTAGTAAGTACATTGTCTATAGTTCCGACCAACACGGTCACTGACCTTGGGGCTCTGTATAATTTGTTACAAAGATAAGCTGCTGCGTGATCGGCTGATAACAAGCTACTTTTATCGCATTTTGTAGACATTTTTTGTACTCCAATCTAATCACCTCATTAAGAAAACAGCAATGAACACAAGCGACAAATTTCGTAAATGATTTTATGAATGATATTGAAAAATTTTTAAAGAAAAAGTCAAACTTATTGTTCGGACCAATGAAAACGGGGAGGAACATTGTATTCGTGTGCTATAATTTTTTCTTTTTTTTTAGTTTTCCATACAAAATCAGTCACCCCAAATAAATATCGGACTGCGTTTGATGATATATCATATTAAAGCCGTATCAGTCGTGACTCGAACGACATTAAAAAATTGCCAAAATGTTTTCCCAGTGCCGAAAAAGAAAAATTTGAAATTTTTCATTTTTCTTCAAATTTCGAGCGAGAAGTTTGAGCAAACTAGCCAAAATTCTTTTATTCACGCCTTGAAAAATCTAGTATAATTAATTTCTATCTTTCTAAGTATTTTTGGCGCCACCTTGGGAGTAAACAAGTTTTCAAATTCTGCAAAATGAAAAAAAAATTAATTCTTTATTTGATTATAAATCATTTTTCGAAAAAAAATTCCCAACATGCTTATTTCACTTATGAATATCCGAAATGTCTAAAATGAAGTTTTTCTTTCAGATTCTTTCATCACACCACGCATAAAAAACTGAAATTAATTTAAGCTGGTAAAGCTGCTCCTGAAAATTACACCTTTTATCTAAGACGAAAAAAAATTGGAAAGGCTGAATGGATCGCAGGCTGAACGGATGGAAGGCTAATGTAACGACGAATAGCTGGATTGATAGCTGAGGGATGGAACGATGAAGGAAGGGTCGGCTGGATGGGCGAATGGAAAGACGGATGAAAGGCTGACAAATGGATGACTAGACAGAGGCATGGCTGTATCAATGGCTGGAAGCAACGATATCAATGGCTGCAAGCAACGACGGATGACTGGACGCAAAAATGGAGGAATATTTGACTGATTTGCTGGGGGACTGACGGATGGCTGGTTGGATCGATGCATGACTAAACAGATGGATGACTGAAAATGTAGATGGATTGCTGGTTGCATGGATCGATGACAAAGCCTTGATCTATGAATGGTTGGATTGATGGACGATTGATGGAAAGATAATTGGATGCATGGCTGACTGGAATGTCGTATGACTGGAGGGATTACTGGTTGGACGGTTGGGCGGATGATATATGATTTAACAGATAGATGGCTTGATGGAGTATCAGACGGCTGGATAAACAGTTGGGTGGTTGTAAGGTTGTAAATAGAAATGGATGGTTGTAAGGATGGATGGATCAACTGATGGTTGGCAGAACTAATGAAGGGATGATGTTTTGATTGATGGCTTTTTAGATGCCGGATGGTTTAATGGCTGGATGGTTGGATAGACGACTAGATGGACGAATGGTTTTGCTGGATGGATGGCTTGATGGATGAATGAATCGGAAGACTGTTGCATGAATGGGTGTCAGAGTACCTGAATAGATAGATGGCTTGATAGATAATAGAGGGATGGATGGAAGATGAATGGCGTAATGTATGGGTGGATATATGGCTGACTGGCAAAATAGATTGCTGGAGGGTTGGAAATTGATGATAGATGGATGCCCTACCTTGCACTACCCTACCCTGCCCTTAATCTCGGCCTATCATGCCTCGCCCTACCTGGCTTACCCTGCCCTGCTTTGCGCTGCCCTACCCGGCATTGCCACTCCTCACCTTCCCCTGCCTTGCCCGCTTTTGGCCCTGCCTTGCTGTGAGCTGCCCTCCATTGCCCCTCTTCGCTCTACCCAGGCTTTGCCCCTCTTCGATATACCCAGGCTTTGCCCCACTTCAGTCAACCCAGGCCTTGAGTCTCTTCGCTCAACCCAGGCCTTTCTACACATCGCCCCGTCCAGCGCCGCCTTGTGCTTCCCTATCCGGCCTTGCCTTGCGCTGTCATGCCTTGCCTTGCGCTGCCCTGCCCTGCCTCTCCTCATCCTACCCTGCCTAGCACTCCCTACCCTGCATTGCCATTTCTCGCCCGGCTCAGCGCTGCTTTGCGTGTAACTACCTGGCCTTATCCCTCATTGCCCTGCGCTGCCCTACCCTACCTTGCCACTTTTCGCCCTACCCTGCCTTGCGCTAACATGGTTCTTAAGCACCACAAAAAACGATAGTTTAAACGCGCAAAATTTCGTTGACTTCTGAAAAATTAAACATGAGACATGTGATATGGCTTGAACATGGAAAGATATGCAGTCGCGTTTTAGCATATAAAAATGGTTACAGCATTGTCCTACTCGCACAGCAATCGGCTATTCTTCTTTGTGTTTTTTGTTAAGAGACGCTTAGTGCATCCTAGGATCCCCTTAAATGTTCTGTCTAAGTCTCAAAAGAAAGATGAGGTATAGTTTCATCGTATATTTAGTGATGTTGGAGAACTTTATATATTTTTGATCGTTATTATTTACTTGCACAACAGGCCACTTAAAAATTACGCTAGGCAATTTTTTTTTACAATTCCTTTAGAGCCATGAGTGACGTTTTTTGAAGAAATATTCGGAGTTCAGAAGATCCGATATTATCTCAACGTGTGAAAGATGATCGGAAAAATGTGAAAGAACAAAAATAATCAAAACAAGTTGACCAAACATTATCAACTTTCGCAATCCCATAAAAAAACAAAGTTGATGCTCTTTGAATTTCAAGAATTGTTTCTTTTTGGCATTTTTTTCTTCCCATGTATAGGAAACTGGATCAATATGTAGTTTTTTCTTTCATTGGCAATACAAAAAATTATAGTTGTATTTTTGAAACCAGAAGTCATTCACGTTTCGTTACCTTTACACTTTTGCGGGTCGATAGTGTAGTTTCCCTTTAACAACATTAAATTTAGAAAAAACAGATGTCAAACCGCGGCAAAACAAATTGGAGCGTGAAGAAACTTTTTTTGTTGTTTCTCTTTCCCTAACAGAAACCAACAAAAAAAGTGTAAAAAACATCACAACCTAAGTATGTTACAATCATTTCAACCTTTTACAATTGAAAATGTTTACTTATCATTCTTATGATTAAGTCTCAAATGGCATAATTCCCAAATGGCATAAAAATGAAAAGTTTCCCAAATGGCATAAATTTCATGCAACAGTTGCTTTGGAAAAATCGAGAACAGTTTTTTCGTGAACAAGGTGAGAAAATTAGTCAAATTGTCAATTCAAATTATGATTGATTTATCAAAAGCAAGAAGCATAAGCTTGCGGTTATTAATAAGCTTCTTGTGGTCAATTTTTTTCGACAAGTCTGTTGCTTAAATTTGTTTGGCAGCAATTAATTCCAAATCTTGTTCACATGCTTTCGTTCCTGACAAAATGTTAGAATTAGAAATTGATAGAAAACGTTTAAATTACAATAAAAACTCAAAATTTAAGCCATTTGGGAAAAGTTTCCATTTTTATGCCATTTGGGAATTATTCCATTTGGGAAGTTACCATTCTTATCTAAGACCACCCCCATCGTTTCTGATATTCCAGTAATAAACTGAACAAATATGCGATATATGAACTAATCATAAAAGCCAAAATTTTGTAAACCCCTAAAACGATGGCAATTTTAGAATTGCAATTTTCCCTCAGTTTTACAATATTTAAAATATTTTACAACTGAAACTTTCTGAACCAATTTAAGAACCTAGCCAGCAGACAATTGGAAAAAAAGTTAATGAACGCAAGTCAACAGAAATAATACTGACCTACTTTTATTTAAAACTGCAAATTTTGAATTTCTAAGAAAAAGATGGCCTTAAAGTTTTTTGAATTTTTAGAGCAATTAATGATTCATTTTTGTGATCAATTTAACCAAATTTGAGAAAGCTGGATCTATAGGTAAAAGTTTTATTTCGCTGGGAATCTCACTGGAAAAATTTCATTTTCGAAACTAGAAGTCGATCGCGTTTTTGTGACCTTTACACTTTGGCTGTTCGACAGTGGAGTTAAACTTTGAGTCTACATAATTGCTAAGTGACGCAAGCCAATTATGACACATTAGCAGTACCAGTCAATTTGAAAAAATGAAATTAACCAACTTACATTCCTCAATTTATAGAGCAGACGCATTTTAACTAGTACTAGCGCGTACCGCACCTCCGGTGCTTCGAATTTTTATTAAAACTATTCTTTGAGCGTACTCTGACATCACCCAATTACAGGGTTCGTATTTAAAAAATTTTTACTCAATTTTTTTATACAAATTTTGAAGAACCATTTGGGAAGTTTTGTATAAGTTCTTCTAAAAATTTAAAATGAACTAAAAAACGTCACATCTGGGAAACTGAAAGCAATTGAGCAGTCACATTTGGACGCAAGATTTGCAACTTCTGAGAGTAACTTCAAATTTTGTAAAATTTTTCATTCGATTTTTTAATTCAAATTTTGAAAAACCATAAAAATTTGTGACATTTTTTTATAACTAAGTTTATAATGAATTAAGAAATGTCACATCTAAGAAACTGAAAGCAATTGAGCAGTCGCATTTGGACGCAATATTTGCAACTCCTGAGGGTACTCGTACAGTATCCAACTGCAACGTTGGAAATTCAAATTATGAGAAACTTCACCTTACTTTTTCTAAAACAGGTATTTTTTGAAAACCAGAAAAAATTCATAGTTCAAAAACTACCAAAATTTGAGCAGTCTTTTTTGATGGCAATATTCGTAATCTTTAAAGTACACAAATACAGGGTTGTGAATTTCGCTTAAAGTAATTATTTTGTAATTTGAGTTTTCAGAAAAATTCCGAAAAAATCACAAAAATCGTCGTATCTCTTAAACAAAAATGATTTGGGCACTCTTAATTGGAGGCCGAATTTGCAACCCCTGAGATAACTCTGACAGCCC